CCGTATTCGCAGCCGTCGGCCAGAACCTCTACATTGACAAGTTCACCAAAGGCCTCGAACACATCGGCGGCCTCGACCCAGAACAGATTCTCAACGCAGGCGCCACAGATCTGACCAAAGGACTTACCGCAGCCGTCCAACGCCAGGTACTAGAAGCCTACAACGACTCCTTGACCAAGGGTACATTCTTCGCCGCCCTCATCGTTGCGTGCCTGGCTATTCCTGCTGCCCTTGGCATGGAATGGCGAAGTGTAAAGGATACACAGCCCGTCTCGTCAGCCTCTGAAGCGCATGATGAGCTGGAGCAAGGGCAGCCGGGTATACGGCTGGCGCAGCAAGATACGCATGAGAAGTCAGATCTGGCTTCGGAAAAGTCAGCAGCAAGTGAGGAAGCCCTTGCTCCTCGGCGGCGAGCATGGAGACGGTTGCACCAATCGAGTATGCACTTTGCATCGAGTCTAACAGCAAAGGCAAACCCTGACCTTCGCAATGAGTTGAACACTTCTAGAGCGCAATGAGGTACCACTGTGTCTTGTGACGCGATTTGTATGGTTTTCTTTTGGCCGAGGCGTCGGAAATAGACTGGGGATCCATGGTATGGGCGTTGGTGGAGTTTTTTGAATTATTCTTTAGCATTCATCATTGTACATTTAGAATCTGACAGGTATAGCTTTTACTGTCGACAAGGTATATATGTTTTGGTACTAAATAGGGCACATCTTGGTGTATTGAGGTGCGGCTGTTGATGCCGCGCACGACTCCTATGGCGCGTCCACATGGACAACAACACTGAACAGGCATACGAGTGGTTTAGTTTGTTTACGCGTCTTACAGATCCAGTACGGTAAGGCTGACACGTTAATATCATGGTTTGCCAGTTAGCTTGGTCCCGTGTCCAAGGCTAATGTCGCGGGATCAAGCTGTGCAGCCTTGTTCGCATATGACATGGTCGTACATGACGAGACACCCTCTGGCGAGAGGCATAGGCTCAATAGATACTGCTCGTCCGTGGATGCAACATGCAGGGCGATGGCGGCGGTGCTGTTCAACAGGTTGCCAGGTAGCACCATGGGGTTGGTCAGCTCCCGACACACCGATGCTGATGAAATTGAACCGGAGGATGGGGGTTTATCTGCAGAAGGAGAGGCTTATGTGGGCTCTGCTCCAAACCGACAACATCTTATAATGGCGGTGTTTGCAGCGAATTGGAGCCGCGGTAATTAATGAAGGTCAAATGGTGGGAAAGCTAGGCTGTGCCTGATCCAGGTCAGACGTGTCAGCAAAGCGCATGGTGAACCTAAGAAATGTGCATTTGCGACGGTTCCCCGCGGGAAATCGATGATGTACCGGTAAGCTGCTCAATAAGAATTCAATTTATGCTGTCAACCTGGTATCGCGTAGGTAGGTAGGTACTCTACACACCCCATGGTTTTG